GAAATCTGGGAAAAATCATGCAAAAAATCCTGGAAAAATCTGGGAAAAATCCTGGAAAAATTGGGGAAAAATCTGGGGAAAATCCGGGAAAAATCCTGGAAAAAATCTGGGAAAGGGCTAGGAAAAATTGGGGAAAGGTTTGGGAAAAGGGTGGCAAAAGGTTGGGGAAAATCCGCGAAAAATCGGGGAAAAGGGTGGGGAAAATCTGAGAAAAGGCTGGGGAAAATCTGGGGAAAGTCTGGGAAAAATCCAGGAAAAATTGGGGAAAAATCTGGGAAAAAGGTGGGGAAAATCTGGGAAAAATCCGGGAAAGGGCTGGGAAAAATTGGGGAAAAGGGCTGGGGAAAGGGTGGGAAATGGTGCCAGAAATGATGGGGATCAGTGAGATCAGGGAACCTGGAGAAACTCAGGAAGATGATGAAGATCGGTGGGTGATGGAAAGGGTGGGGAAAATGTGGGAAAAGTTCTGGGAAAGGCTGGGAAAAATCTGGGAAATATCCGGGAAAAGGCTGGGAAAAGGTTGGGGAAAATCCACAAAAAATCGGAGAAAAATCCAGTAAAAATCCCATTTCTCCATTTCCAACCCCGTTTTTGGGGTTTCTGACCCCATTTTCTCCATTTCTGACCCCATTCCCGGACTCTCCATGTTGTAATTCCCGTGTTTGGTATTCCCAACCCCATTTTCTGCATTTCTGACCCCGTTTTCTCCATTCCTCACCCCATTTCCGGGCTCTCTGGGTTGTAATTCCCATTTTTGGTGTTCCCAACCCCATTTTCTCCGTTTCTGATCCCATTTATGGGCTCTCCGGGTTGGTTTCCGATCTCTCCGTGTTGTAATTCCCATTTTTGGTGTTTCTGACCCCATTTTCTCCATTTCCAATCCCATTTTCTCCATTCCCGACCCTGTTTTCGGGCTCTCCGGGTTCTAATTTCCTTTTTTGGGGTTTCTGATCCCAATTTTTCCATTTCTGACCCCATTCCCGGCCTCTCCGTGTTGTAATTCCCGTTTTCTCCATTTCTGACCCCATTTTCTCCATTCCTGACCCCATTCCCGTGCTCTCCAGTTTGTAATTCCCATTTTTGGGGTTCCTGACCCCATTTTCTCCGTTTCTGACCCCATTCCCGTGCTCTCCGTGTTGTAATTCCCGTTTTTTTTTGTTTCTGACCCCATTTTTGGGGTTCCCGACCCCATTTTCTCCATTTCCAACCCCATTTTCCCCATTTCTGACCCCATTTTTTCCATTTCTGACCCCGTTTCCTGCCTCTCCGTGTTGTAATTCCCGTTTTTGGGGTTTCTGACCCCATTTTCCCCATTTCTGACCCCATTTTCTCCATTTCTGACCCC